CTGGCTGCGAGGAGCCGGGTCGAGGGTGGAAGGGGGGAGAGCTCCTTCCCCGCGCCCCCCGGGAGCCCTTGGCGACGTGGCGCTGCCCTCTTTTAAGCGCAGCACAAACTCTCCTGCCCAGCCGCGTCTTTCCTGGGAGCCTTTTTCACCCGTTTCGTGCTAAATCCGACGCGCGTTCGGCCTGTGCAGGGAATTCAGCCGCAGCAGCTCTCTGGCAGCGGGGATACCCTTTCCCTCCTCCGGGATAACTGCTGGCCTGTCCACCGTTTCTGCCACCTCGGTCCCCTTTCTCCCTCCGTTCGTCCACACTTCACTGCCTTGTCCATCCCTCTGCTGAAGGCTCCTGACCGGACTGCTACAATCCAGAACGCTTGCGTATTTTGATTAGGATGTTTTGTCCCAACACGTGTATTTCCATGCTCCAGGATAATAACTAACGGATGGCAAATGAAATAGAACGCTGCCTTTTATCTGCGGTCCCTCAGAGGCTGCTGTGCGCAGGGGTAGCTCCAGCGGCCTCCAAGGGGAAGCCAGCTCCGGGCTGGAAGGGTTTAAATCAAGTCTGAAACAAGGTCAGCAGAGTTCACGCTCCTGCTGATCCTAAAACCTGCAGGCGATCTTTACTGCCCATCTTTACAAACACCGCAGTGTCCTTTAGCTATGTGTCCTGTTGTTTGTGCAACAGGGAGAAAGAATATCGTATTTTGAGTCCCTTGTGCTGCTTCTTAAAACACAGGTTAGCCATGGATATCTCCTGTTTTAAGAATCATCTGGCTTGACTCTTGAGGACCGGAGCAGCAAGGGATGTTCCTGCAGCAGGATCAGGTTATGGAAGATGCATTTACTGGGAAACTTACAGAAATCATTTGTATTTTTCATGCCAGATGCTCCCTCATATACCATCCTGTCCCTTTCACCATTTTCGCACCTTAAAAATACTTATTTGCCTTACTATTTACTGTGTCTCACCAGGAGCGCCTAGAGCTCACCCCGCCGTGGGCCCCCGGGCTCTGGGAGGCGTACCGTACGCTGCGCTAGATAATCCCCAACCGACAGCTTATCTGCTAAATGGATGGGACAGACCAGCGCAGAGGCACAGACTCCTCCACTAGCACAACCAGGCGCAGAAACACGGAGCTAAAGAGTACAACTGAAGTCCTCTGAGACAGGCTCAGATGTACATCGTTTCTGGCAGATGTTTATCTAACTTTTAGAAATCTTCCCACCCTCCCCGCATATCTTACATCAGTGCTGAACCCTGTCTATCTTTAGGCTGATTTTTCCTAAGATGTAATCCAAGCCTTCTTGAGGCAATAGATTCCACAGTTCCTCTGTTTTTTTACTTTCTCTGTCATTGCTGAATGCAGTATCCCGCTCCGGCTAGTGCATTTGTACTACATGCTTTAGAAAGCTTTTTTTGACAGCTGTCCTTATTTTGTGTTTGCTGTCTGGCACTTTTTAAACAATGTTTAGATAGCTACAGGCAGGCACACAAATTTCTCAAAATCATCCATGATCTGGATTCTCCACTAAAGTCTCCGTGTTAAATTTGTTCTTCTCTGCTCGTATTTTAGCAGGAACATCTACACCCGGGACAAGCACGGAGCCACAACCCTGCCCTCTCCTGGGCTGAGCTCGCAAAACCGCCAAGCGGGTCTGTGCGGAAAGCAGCGCGGCCTGCGCTGCTCCGTGGCATCGCTGCGTTCCCGTCAGCAGAGCGGCACCCAGCAGGGACGGAGCATCTTTGGGGTCGGTTTTCAAAGGCTGCTATTTGTCTGACCTTCCTTCCAGCTGCTGTTGTTTGCTTTTGGTCAGCAGGTTACCGAAGGAGGAAGAAACTGGAGAGAATTCCCTTCTTTGACAAGCAAAATAGTTTCATTTGAATAAATTGTGATTTTCCTTATTTTATTATACATTTTGCATTAACTGATATTTTACACCCTTGCTCTGAAAGTGATTTGATTACATGGGAATCTCTACTTCTATTAAAAAGTGAAAATAGACTGCTAGCCCTTGTGGTCATGCACTAGAGCTTGAAAAAGCTAGAAAAATAGGAGGGCAATTACAGGAATCCCTGCTGTAGTAGTTCTGGAAAGAGTTGGACTTTAAGGCCATCTGAGGATTTGGGCACCGGCAGCATTTCCTCCTCACCCTGAGCGAGACGACCCTGGCACGGGCAGGGGCAGGATGGGGCGATGCCCTGGGCACTGCAACGCGCTAGAAGCCAGGATGGGGCCGGATGAGACCGAGCAGCTGCCAGAGCGTCCTCCAAAGGAGCGCCGCGGCTCCCCGGCAGCTCCAGGCGGGAGCTGGCACGGCAGGGAGAGGCCCTGGGAACACTGCGACTTCCCTGGTGGGGGATTCTCTAGTGTCTGATAAGGGTTGAACCTACCCTGCTGCTTTCCCCCGCCGAGGGGCGCTAGGAGAACCCCCTCC